TTTTGTTTTTTGTTTTCTTTTTTCTCCGATCAGTTTTGAAGCGCCTACGTGATTTTTGAGATCTTCTTGTATTTACTTTTTTCTTGTTGCTGTGCTACGGCCAAAGACGGACAGGAACAGAAAGAATAAAGGACAGAGCCGGAAGAAAAAAAAAAGGGGGGGGGAAATTTGACTGAAGGCAAAAAAAAGAAAAAGAAAAGAATTTGTTTTTTTTTTTTTGTTGTTGTTGTTGAATAAACGAGCAGTGAGAGCGATCTGTGTTTTCGTATTCCGGTATATGTATACACATGCACATATGTACCTACAGGCTCTCTACATGTATGCAGTCAGTCAATGAAGGGGATGTAAAAATGGAAGAAAGTAAAAAAGGGGGAGAAGTATTAAAAAAAAAAAAATGATAGAAGAAGCAGAAAAAATGAAAGGGCCTTTTTTTTTTTTTTTTTTTCTTACAGTCGCAGACATAATGGGGGAATCAATTAAAAAGAGATCTATGAGGTTCTGAAGTAGGTGAAGAAGAAAAAGACATTGGGATAATGTTATTAGAGTCAGTACGGGAATTATCTTGTTCTGATGATAATGAGTTGAAGAGAGGAAGAAAGAAAAGTGTTTTTGAGCTGTGGTGTTAACTCTCTTCTTGTTTTTCCTCGTCCTTATGCTTCTCAGAAACCTACATTACAGACGCACATATACATAAATACATACATACTCATATATACTCTTTTTTTTGTTTTTTCCCCCTTTGTTAACCTCATTGAACAAATCCCGTTTGTAAGGAGTGAGATTTCACTAATTTTTGTACTCTTTTCTTTTTTTTTTTTTTCTTTTCACGCGGCCCTCAACCCCATTTTTTTTTTGCTTTTGAATACACGCATATTCATAATGTGTCTTTGCGAAATTACACAATACAAAACCCGTAAGAGACTTCTATCAATGTCTGTGTGTGGATGATGGAGTGAGAGAAGGTTGGGGTGCTGCAGAAAAGGAAAGGAATCTCTCTCTTTGATGAGATGATACAAATTATAAGTCTGTGAGATATATCCGCACATACACAAGTTGGCAATATTATATATATATATATATATATATAATATATGATATTTCTATCTATGTATGTACCACACAGTCAAAATGTACACATTCAAAATAATCTTGATGGTGTGTGTAATGCGTGAATTCTTCCTTATAGTCTGTGGACCTCATTTTTTTTTTTTTTTTTTTTTTTTTTTTTTT